TGTGATTGGTCGAGCAAGAGGCAACGACTTCCGGTCAGTCTGCAAGCAGCTCTCCGCGCTTCTGGTTGTTTTTCGTCGTGTTGCCCGCGTGCATGCTCCGCTCACGAATCAGCTACTGCGGCCCGTAAAAAAAACTGCACGAACTGAATCTGATTGTTTTGCGATGACTTTTACTCAACGCAGGGTCCATACCACCACGATTCCATAGTTCGCCAACAAGCGCGCAGCTACAACGCAACTGACGAAGTCGACGGATGGAGTCGCGGCAACCGGAAGTAGACGGTGTTTCAAGCAACGCATCAGCGATGACGTATGCCACGCGATATTGGAAGGGGTATGGGAGGGGCGCTCGGCGAGTTGACAAAGTGGCTTGGGAGAAGATACAAGCGGAGGGTAACGCAGGGGAGAGTGAAAGTAGTGATCGTCGTGGTTTCGATAATCAAACGTGTCCCACTCCGGTGTTACTGCACCATTCCAAAATACCTCACGGCTCCGTGTTCGTCGTACACTCGTGCACAATTTCCCAACCACAACTGAGTTTCGACCTTAGGTGGTTTACAGGCCATTTAAGGAGCAAAAGTGGGCCAGGGAACAAACTCGTTTAAAGGACGTCTTCGTGAAAATTAAGAAGGAATTGTAAGGCTTAGTGAAAGTCTTGCAAAGGCAAAGCCAGTGCTGGTCATTAAAGTTGACACACTGGATTCAAAAGGAAAGCAAGCACGTGAAGGGGGGGGGGGGCAGAAAGTTAGGTATAGGCAGATATTATTAAGGAGTTTGCGGAGATTACTGCAGGCTAGACAGGGCCGGGTTGAGGGGCAAAACATATGTGCGATGCAATTTCCCCACATTGAACGTTGTCAGACTGATGATGATGATGGAGGATTGCAGAAAAGAAGAGACGGAAATTTGTAACGTAATCAAATACAGACTTGCGCAATGATGCCCTTAAGCGTAAAAGTCAAATGAAAACTTGTTCTAGTGAAAACCAATGTCATATATACCCCTGTATCTTGCATTAAATATACACAACCGATTGTTCTTAGAGTACCTGAAAATGTTAACAGCAACTGTGGTTTCGAGGAGTCATCGAACGCCTTTTATGGCACGGTCCATCTATTAAGACAATCAAGTAGTTGCCCTTCACACCACGATAGAGTAGTTTCACTGAAAAAGTTTTCGCAGTTTATATTTTGTGACTGTGGTCTTGTGTACCCCAGCTCAAAGGGGCAAGGTTACTAATGACAACTACTAATGAAGAACGCTCACTTACTCTTACTATTTAAGTGTGGTATTGAGCGAAGAGCTCCTACGATGTGTCGCTGGTATCCACAGCAGACCTTCTCAACATTCCTTATTGTATTTCTTCGCTTTGTCTAGTGAAGGGTAGCCAACCTTCCGCAGTCTCGAATAAATTAGCTGACTTTCCTTCATTCTTGTAAAGATCGTTCCTATACGCGCTGTATATATCTAATGCGGGGTTTCGTGTGACCTAACGAGAACCAAATATGAAGGACCACCACTTCTTTTTCACCAAACGAAAAACTTCAAGTGTATTTTCACATGAGTCAGATTTTATTAAAACTTTTGCCCCCCCCCCTCTTTGTAATAAAACCTGTGATTTCGATCTTATACCATGCGGTACACTTCCCATTCATACGCAGCTAGCTCGGTGGCTTGACAGCAACATATAGCTTGGAATGTTTGCATGAGTCGATTTGATCTGCATCATTGACCATTACGTAGCACCAATTTTACGCTTCAAAATGTTTTCTTGGCTCGTTACTTCAGGTGGCAGGTTGCCGAGAAAGAAAAATTAGAACGCTTAATCAGGAAAGCTTTTAAGCAAGCCTTAGGATTACCAAAAAACACGAGCACGGCGAAATTGTTGGATCTAGGATGGCACAATACGCTGGACGAATTGGTTGAAGCGCACAACATAGCCCAATTCGAACGACTTTCAAAAACGAACACGGGCAGGTGCATCCTCGAACAACTAGGCATAGGATATCATACGCAACACGGAGAAAAGGCAGATGTGCCTGCGAATGTGAGGGACAGAATAGTGGTCCCTCTGTTACCGAGAAATATGCACCCCGAGTATCACGCTGGTAGGAGAAACAGACGGGCGCAGTATTCGCAGAGGAAATTCGGCAAGTGCAAAGAAGCGGTCTCCGTTGACGCGGCTCGTTACGCGCGCAACGCGGCTTCGCGGCTGCGGTGGTCGACCACGAAGGCAAATGCAAGGCGAGCGTTACGTTAAAACCCAGCACGCAGAGACGGCCGAGGAGGTGGCCATCGCCCTTGCGGTGACCATCTCTGAGGCTGAAATAGTGATCAGCGACTCGCTAGTGGCGATACGAAACTATGCTAACGGCCGGGTGTCCCGGGAGGCGCTGCGAATATTGACGGTCAACGCGAAAAGATTACAAAACAAAAAAGTTGGCAGCATATTCACGGAGTGATTGATGGAGAGTGGGGTGAATCATTCGTCCGTCCATTCGTTCTTGCTTCCGTCCGTTCATGCGTCCGTCTTTGTGACCGTACATGCGTTCATTCACCCGTCCGTGCGTGCGTCTGTTCTTGCGTCCGTCCCTGCGTCCGTTCATGCATCCATCCATGCACCTCTCTGTGTGTCCGTTCGTCCACCTATTCAACACTCTAAGTACCACCATCTCGCATCTTTTCCTCATATATTCCCCATATAGAAGCACCGCCAACCAGCAGACATTCCCAGGACTAAACGAGAGGCGGCACACGCACACTTTCTTACGGCTTGCGCTTCGGGTCTACTTCCCACCTTTAACCACGTCGAGTTCACGGTATATACTAGTTCACTGTATTCATGGCACTGCGGCCCAACGCTCGCTAAACCTTTCTAAAACCAAGGAGGTTACGCCAAGCGAGTATAACGTAGCAACCCTTTCTGTCAGATAGTGCTCAATGCACATGCCAAAGACTGCTAATGGGAAAAGAAAGACCGGAAAATTCGGCTTTTACTTTATTACGGCTTGCGCTTCGTATCTACTTCCCACCTTTAACCACCTCGACTTCATGGTATATACTAGTTAATTGTATTCGTGGCACGGCGGCTCAACGCTCACTAAACCTTTCTAAAACCAAGGAGGTTACACCCAGCGAGTATAACGTAGCAACCCTTTCTTGTCAGTTAGTGCTCGATGTATATGCCAATGGCTGCTAATGGGTGTCGCAGCATGCGCGTTAACTAAAAGCCGAATGCTCCTGTTTCTCGTTCCCCATTAGCAGTCATTGGCATGTTCATTGAGCACAATTTTATATTGTTCAACAACGCAGAGAAGAAATTTCTCACCAGCACCACCTTGGAGGTCAAAATGTTATAGTTGTTACACACTAAAACAGCTACGAGGGACGAACGGGTGTCGCTATAAAGAGCTTAGCCTCCAAAATGATACATTTGTGATATGGACAGCTGCTCACACGCACTGCCCTCTGGCCGGCAACGAGGCGGCAGACGCGGCGGCTCGAGAACTCACGAACCAACCGAGCAGCTGCGCATGCCGATGCAGCCTCTACCGAGGCCACACGCGGAAAAGTGTGGGAGTGGGAAGAACGTATGACTAGCTACAGTGACATTACGCAGCACTACAAGCTGAGTAGGCGTAAATACACACCACCACATAGCAAATTAACTAAGAAGCAGTCAGTTGCATGGAGACAACACCAAACAGACACCTCTCCAAATCCAGTGATGCTTCGCCTCTGTTAAGGAGGCAGTCTCGAACCGCAGGACGCGCTGGGAGGCGGCTCTGCTCAGCTCATATTAGAACAACAACTATGGTATATACCGTAGTTGTTGTTCAGGTATAAAATCACGTACAGGTATAAAATCATGCTTCAATGTTGGGAGCTGGATCCTGGGAAGCGTCCCGCATTCGCAAGGCTTGAAACGGATGTGGCTAGTGTGATTACCAGCCTTGAGAAGAAGAATTAAGACAAGAGGATCAGCTTGAACGTCACATACACGAACTGCCAGCGAGCCGAGGAAGCCGCCCGAGCCCAAGGGCTCGCGGCCGATGCCTAGAGCAGGGTTCAAGCCCGCCCCTATTTCTCATCGCCGGACTCTTAATAAATGTTGTATCTCTCTCTCTCTCTCTCCCAAGGGGTGAAGCATGAATCACATAGCAAGACACCGAAAAGCTTTAACACCAAAACGGAAAAGGAGGGTGTTGATGCGATCAGTCATGATTGAGTGTAAATTGTAGTATGTTTTTACTTTTTTTCCTATACGTGTTTTTGGCGCACGTGTACGTGAGTAGGTGCTTCCCAGGTGATAATATAGGTTGTTTTGCCTCCCTTTTTCAAGTTTTTTTGTTATTTCTTTTTCTGCACCTGTGTACTCGGTGTCTCCTCGCTATTGCATTCTTTTTTTTTTCAGATGAAATGGGTGCTTATGCAGTGTTCTTTAGTGTTCGTGTTTCATTCTTGTATCTTCTTTACATTTACATAAGCGAAAAAGAACACCACATCAGTGCTGCCTTTTTTTTCTTTCCTTCGTCCTTGGCTTATTACAGTGAATCACTCAGACGAAACTCATCCAAGTTTCTCTTCCAGTTAACAGAACGATAACTCAAGATGCGTATCCGAGACTCCAACCCCAACGCTGTCCCAGCTCATGGAGAAATCTCTAATGTGTGTGACTTGTAAATAAAGTTGGGGCCTACATACGATACATCTTCAACTGAACTATCACTGATGTCATTCATATCTTTAAAAGAAATAAAACGGTTCCAAGTAAAAGCTATCTCAAACGTTCACAAATTACTACTACACAGAAATAGTTACTTTGCTTCCCCTTTGAAAATATTGCATCAAGTACAGGAGAATGACAATGTGAAAAAGATAATGTTTAATGCTGCGATTACTACTGCAAGAAGACTTTCACAGAGTCCTGTTCATGCATAAGTTCGCGCCAAGTCCGTTCAGGTCCTTACATGTTCTATAATTCTATTTCATTGTTACAGAGACCAACATTAAGAGATCTCATAACGTTCGGAATACACGTGGCCAAAGGCATGGAATATCTGGCACACCTGAAGTTCGTGCACAGAGACCTTGCTGCTAGGAACTGCATGTAAGTCACGTCACTCGAAGACACATGTATGCTGTCATCTCAAAGCTAGCTTTCTCATCTTGTGAATAGGCTCAGCGAGATCTCATCGTCAGAATAGCCGACTTTGGTCTGTCGAGAGACATCTACGAGAGAGATTATTACAGCGAACAAGACAGAAAGACTAAGCTGCCCGTGAAGTGGATGTCTCCAGAGAGCTTGGAGGCCGGAGTCTACGATCACAAGACTGACGTGGTAAGCGTTGCGCCGACTAAACGTTGCTCGTAATTAATGGTTTCATTGCAGCATAGTCTGCCCTTACACAGAGCTACCCAAAATATCGATTACATTCAAGAGGTAGTTCACTTTAAACATGGCAGGGTTAGTAAATGACACGATCTATCTTTGTTGTTCCACATAAAAAAATAACACGACGGTTATGTTTCTATGTATTCTTTTTTTCCACGAGCCATTAGAGAATTGAATGCCCTATCGCCTGATGTAAACAGTTTGGACAACGATGTATTTTAGCACGCTTTGGGAGGGTGTTTACTTTCTATATTTTCGTATGTAACCCCCCTGCTGTAATGCCTAATAGGGCGATGCAGCTATGCAATAAATAAATAATAAATAAATAAATTTTGATCGTTTTCGAACTACACAGCTGTTTCACACATTACGCGCACAGCCACCATTCCCAGGCATTTGGGGCACATGTACGAGGTGCCATCTCTCGGCAGCAGCAACGGCGTCCTAACATAACAGAATAGGCGAAAAAATATGAAAGGTTGCTTATCGAGAACTATACGTTTTCTGTAGAGCAGATACCCACGGAAACACTTTGATAAAATTGAAGTATCACACAACAAAGCATGTGACGTCCTAGGACAATTGCACGCTGCCCATCGGAAACAGTCTGAGAAGCCGTGCGGTTTGTATTTCGACAGTGTAACTTTGAAAGAATATTCAAATGAGCCTCGGCTGTGCAGAACCGGGAGTAATATATGACAACTAGCCTTTTTCGTCAGAGGAAATTTTTTTCGCCTATTTACCACTCAGTTACAGCGGGCCGCCACTGACATTGACGAGATATGGTGCGACGTTCATGCCTATAAATCCGAGTCATAAGTTGAGAACACCACGGGCATACGGGCATATTTCGTTTGTTCACATTGGCTAAATCTGACGATGGGCCTTCTACAACTCGCTCTGCTGTAGATGTATGGCTGCTAACCTAGAAGTGTAGAAAGTAATGCGTAGTTGCTCAAATGAAACTGAGCCAGCCTGTTGACTGCCTCACCCAGTGGTCCTACGGCGTGCTCTTGTGGGAACTGATAACCCGTGGAGCGGCACCGTATGCGCACGTCGACAACTGGGACATGCTCAACTTTCTTAAGGATGGACGTAGGATGCAGCAGCCTTATTTTTGCCCCGACCAATTGTAAGTTTGTCCTACCGACATAGTTATCGGCATGTGTGTAATTGGTACTTTGTGTAATGAGCGTAAAGCAATCATCTCTCTAAATTTTTATATCTTCATTGTTCTCACGTACAGGTATAAAATCATGCTTCAATGTTGGGAGCTGGACCCTGGGAAGCGTCCCGCATTCGCAAGGCTTGCAACTGGATGTGGCTAGTGTGATTACCAGCCTTGAGAAGAAGAATGAAGACAAGAGGATCAGTTTGAACGTCACATACATGAACTGCCCGCGACCGTACACCGCTGATTTAGAGAGCCGGTGACTGTAACCGCCGGAAGCAAGCCTGCGCGGGAACACTTTTGGAAAATATCAAGATGATTACATAAGAGTTTCCGTTTTTTTTCTGTTTTGTTCCAAAGAAATGTTATAGGCCAATGCAATGATGGTCAAACTCAAAACGGGGAAATTTCTGCGCACGTAAAAGTACCAGATAATTATTGTTGCACGAAAACACTTCGATTACAGAAAAATCTGTAAGCTTAGCGCTGCGGGGGTGGTCCATCTTGTCAATAAACCATGTTTTACATATAATGAAATCCCATTGAGGGCAGGAAATGTGTCTGTAAGGAATCAGGAGGGGGCGGGGTAAAGAACTTCGGTTCATTGGAAAGTCTGAATCGTCCTTTCTGGAAACAATCTTTTTTCTCAATTTACGTGGTTGTAATTCTTATGAAGAAAATTACTTCATGTGTACAAAAAATTCACATGATGAGTCCTGTTTTCCGCTTGGTTGAGCGTGGAAGCCCGGTAAACTTTCATAAAAGTGGTAAATGAAGATCGTGGTACAAACTAACCCAGCTAGAAAGTCTACTTCCTCTGTGTACGTTCTAACTTAGAGTTTAGTCCTGAAAGTGAGGAAACGATGCGTACGAACTGGGGACCAACACCCAATAAGTGTGTTGGGAATGAAATTCTCCAGAAATGCAACGGTAGACAGCGAAGATGTTAATACTACTGCTGAAAGAAGCATGTGGGGTTGGACTTGAGTGCAAGTAAAAACACGAGACAAACACAAGATATGTAATTTCGGGTCCGGGAAGAATGTTCTAGTATAAGAGCTGTGCGCTATAACAAATGCTTCGTTGATATTTTATGCTACTTCACAAATTTCTCTTTGCCCCATTCCAAATGAAACTATCATCCCAAATGCGAGATGAAAGCTTCACCGCAACACAACCTCGTGGAGTGGTGAAACTGTTGATGAAGCATGGGCAAGAGCCTGGAGCAGGATGTCTGGAAGTCAATTATGCTACTCGGTTCTAAGTCATGAGTGCTTCGGTGACCCCTTGCGGACTGGTTCTGGTGCGAAGAAAGAGGGGCCCTATGCAGTCGGTGAAGTGGTGGGGTGGGTCATTTCTCCCTGGCAAAAAATGTTCCAGAACAACCACGCCAGTTTACTCACAATAACTAGTCGATAATGTTGTGCGGTCTGTAGGTGAATTTAACCTGTTTGAAGTTATGTTTGTTCTTCAAATATGCAAGGCTAGAATAGGTATGCTGGTGTGGATACGTAGTAGAAAATTAACAAAAGCTTTACAGCTCTTGCATGGAAAAGAGGTTATATAATTAGCTTCGCCACAGCACAAGACAGCCATGTGATGCAGCATTAAAAAAAAGTGATGGTTATGGGATTACGTGTGCCTCCAAGAAAAGCGCCTAATTACTAACGCGATAGCGTAATGAGCTCGTTTTTCAGAAATTACAGCGTTGGAGTGGACGTCGTTGGCCGTGAGCAAAATAAAATTATCTTGTGCGTGACCAAAAAGTGAGATAGATCAAATGGAATAAATAATAATTTCCAGGCATGAGTGAGGATTGGACCCAAGGCCCTGTGCGGGGAGAGCAGATCTACGACATTCGAGTCAGCGAGCAAGGGACATTTTGGCTGACCATTTTCAGTTTTGAGTTTACGGGCACAAGTTAGCCCTAAATAAAGAGTTTATAGAGTACCAGGTGCTATATTTATTCGTAACAATCTGGTGGACGTGCTGGGTATGATTACAAGCCCACCACAGGCAAGGGAGAGAAGCCCAGATCCCAGAAGATTGGAGCCAGCAGAATTGACACCTGTGCACCGACGCACGAGTCGCCGACTGGTGAGCAGCCCGAGTTTGGCCCCCTAATTGACCCATCAAGACCTGTCGAGACCTCAAGCACAAGCGTCACTGCGATGGCCACCCAGTTGATGCCATCTCTATCTCACCTCATTATGGATTCGCCACGTACACCAGAGGTCTTCCACGGTGAGACCTTTGAAGACGCCGAGGACTGGCTTGAAGGCTTCGAGCGCGTTGCACGTTTGAATGGTTGGAACGAAGCCCGAAAACTTCGTTACATTTATGTCGCCCTGCAAGATTCGGCACGTACGTGGTTTGAGAACCACGAAGCGTCCTTGCTGTCGTGGAACGACTTCCGACGAGAGTTAATCGCAACCTATCCGAACACGGACCGCAAAGAGAAGGCAGAAGCTGCTCTTCAGGCGAGGAACCAACGGAATAACGAGACCGTGGCCATGTACATAGAAGACATGTCGCGGCTCTTCCGCCGAGCCGACCAAAACATAGCCGAGGAGAAGTTGCGGCATCTAATGCGCGTAGTAAAAGAAGTTTTTGCAGGCCTGGTGCGTAATCCACCGCGAACGGTGGTGGAGTTCCGGTCCGAGGCAACGACCATGGAAAGGACACTACAACAACGTGCGCGACTGTACAACAGAGACTTCAGCGTCTCTTCAGTCAGGGTGGAGTCAACAACCCTCCCCATCAAAGTTGACGTCATCCGGGAAATGGTGAGGGCTATTGTTAAGGAGGAGCTCCATAAACTGCAACTCCCCCAAAGTCCTCCAGCAATGCCGTCAATCGCGGACGTTGTACGTGAAGAAGTGCGGCAAGCAATTATTCAACCACAGCCTCAGGTGTCACACCACACGCAACCGGAACCTCAGCCACAGCTGTCGTACGCGCAAGTCGTACGGCAAAACATGAGACGCCCGAGCTTTGCACAAGCTCCCGTTATGCCATTGACGTTTCCTCGCAGTACGCCACCGCCGATGCCAGAAGCGAGGCCCCGCAAAAGTGATATATGGCGAACGGCAGACCGGCGGCCCCTCTGCTACCACTGTGGTGAGGCAGGTCATCTTTATCGGACATGCCACTACCGTCGTGTTGGGCTACGTGGCTTCCCAGTGAATGCACCCTGCCCTCGTAACGGTGAGCGCCCTTACAAAATCGAAGAATTTTTATCTTGATTGATTGATATGTGGGGTTTAACGTCCCAAAACCACTATATGATTATGAGAGACGCCGTAGTGGAGGGCTCCGGAAATTTAGACCACCTGGGGTTCTTTAACGTGCACCCAAATCTGAGAACACGGGCCTACAACATTTCCGCCCGTGTGCTCAGATTTGGGTGCACGTTAAAGAACCCCAGGTGGTCTAAATTTTTATCTTCGCGCTATGCCTCTCCAAACACTCAGCGACATGAATCACGGTCGATCGCACCAATGCGCAATAGATCGCCGAGTCCACACCTATCATCTACTTTCTCGAGGCGTCGTTCACCAAGCCCGCGACGGGAAAACTAGAACCAGTGACCCGTGGAGGCAGGGCCGCTGATTTTCGGAAAACTGAAAACCCTCCATCGCTAACCGGATCAGACGACGACACTGGCACAATGACGGACAAGCGCAGTAATTGTGACGTGACATCCGAGCTACAAGTCAGAATCGATGACGTCAAAACCATAGCGTTAATAGACACAGGTGCAGACTACTCAGTAATAAGTAGCATGCTCGCAAAGAAGCTGAAGAAAGTGCTCACTCATTGGACCGGACCGCAGATACGCACCGCCTGGAGGGCATTTAGTCAGCCCCGTAGGATTGTGCACAGCGAGAGTGGGAATAAGAGGCCATGTGTACGTCTGCAGCTTTATTGTTCTCCACGAATGTTCCCGTGAGGCAATTCTGGGCATAGACTTCCTGCAAGCAAACAGTGCCATCATCGACTTGCAGAAATCCCAAGTTTTTTCTCTACAGAGAACGCTGGTGCCGTGTGTCATGCGGAGCAACCAATTGTTTCGTCTCTTCGTATTGTGGATGAAGCTGTGACAGTGCCGCCACGTAGCAGCGTGACAGTTTCTGTGAAAAGCGACGTTTTTTTGTGAATACGCCGGACTAGCTGATGGAAATATGGAACTGCTACTCACAAAGAGGATACGCGTGGCGAGAGGTCTAGTGAACCTGCGGAACGGATATACTGATGTGCTATTGACTAACTTTACCAATGAGGTACAGCACGTGGCGGAGGGAGCAGCCATAGCATCACTTCATGACTAGGTACAAGTCTCAAATGTTTGCACCATAGAAAAAGTACCAACAACGCCCTCGAACAGTGGACAGTGTCCTCGAGAAAATAGATATTGACCGAGAGCTTTCATCTCTGCAGAAAGACCATATTGTGGAGTTCATCAAGGAATTCGCAGAGTGTTTTTCCTCTTCATCGAACGTCGGACGTACGCCTGTAGAAAAGCACCGCATTGTAATCGAAGGGCATGTAAGACCAGTATGTCAGCATCCATACCGAGTAGCTCCGAAAGAAAGGGAGGCGATAAAGAAGCAAGTACAGGAGATGCTCGACGACGATGTCATACAGCCCTCCAAAAGCCCATGGGCATCGCCGGTAGTACTGGTGAAGAAGGCGGGCAACACCATGCGGTTCTGTTTTGATTACAGAAAACTCAACCTCGCCACTAAGCGAGACGTCTACCCACTCCCGCGAGTCGACGATACGTTGGATAAACTGCGCAATGCTCATTTTTTTTATCGTTGGATCTAAAGAGCGGGTATTGGCAAATAGAAGTCGACGAACGAGATCGTGAAAAGACGGCGTTCGTGACACCCGACGGACTGTACAAGTTCAAAATACTCCCATTTGGTTTGTGTTCTGCTCCCGCTACCTTCCAGAGGATGATGGACACCGTGCTCTCCGGCCTCAAATGGCAGTCATGTCTTGTCTATCTTGATGACGTAGTAATTTTTTCCACTACGTTCGAGCAGCACGTACAGAGATTAAGAATGGTACTACACGCTATTCGTATGGCTGCACTTACGATCAAACCCGAAAAGTGCCACTTTGTATTCCGGGAGATTAGGTTCCTCGGGCACATTGTCAGTCCTCACGGTGTCCGCCCAGATACGGATAAGATAACTGCAGTTGAAAATTTCCCAAGGCCAAGAGGCAACAAAGCTATGTGACGTTCCCTGGGGCTTTGTGCCTACTATAGGCGCTTCGTTGAAAACTTCTCCAATATTGCGGAACCACTGACACGGCTTACGAAGGAAGGTGTGCCATTCATCTGGCACCAAGAGCAAGAAGACGCCTTCTCTGAGTTACGACGGCGTTTGCAGTCAGCTCTCATACTCGCTCATTTTGACGAAGATGCCAAAACAGACATTCATACAGATGCCAGCAACGTTGGCCTCGGTGCTATTGTTGTTCAATGGCAGAACGGGGAAAAAAAGTTATTGCTTCTGCAAGCCGCACTC